CCTGCCTCTGCCTCCCGAGTGCTGGGATTAAAGGCGTGTGCCACCATACCCTGCTATTTATCATTTTTAAAAAATATTTTATCATTTTTATTTTTTTTATGTGTGTTGAGTGTACTGCCTGCATGTATGTGAGTGTACCCGTGTCGTGCAATGCCGAGGAGGTCAGAAGAGGGCTTCGGGTTCCCCTGGAACTGGAGTTAAGGATGGTTTGTAGCCACCATGTGGGTGCTGGGAATCGAACCCAGGTCCTCTGCAAGAGCAGTCAGTACTCTTAACCACTGAGCCATCTTTCTAGCCCCACAAAAATATTTTTTAAGTCAGGAGTTTTACTACATCTGCATGGTGCTTATCTGACTCTTTTGTGGTGCTAGGGCTTGAGCTCAGATTTGCAGATGGTACTCCTGAGCTAACCTAGTTTAAAAATCTGCAAGGCAGCCAGTCAGCTGTACATCACACACATCCTAGCACTTAGGAGGTAGATGCAGGAGGATCAGGAGCTCCAGGTCATCCTCAGTCACACAATGAAGAACAAGTATCTTAAAAGGGAGACCCTGTCTCAAAAAGACCAAAAAAATCTAATTAAAAAATAACAGAGGTGCTGGGTGTGGTGGCACAGGCCTTTAATCTCAGCACTTGGAAGCAGAGGCAGGCAGATCTCTGTGAGTTTGAGGCCAGCCTGGTCTACATAGTGGAGTTCCAGGCCAGCTAGGACTACAGGGAGACCCTATCTCAAAAAGACCAAAAAAATAAAAATAAACAACAAATGGAAGCACAATATGCACTGTTGTATAAAAATATTCTTTAATAGAATATATATCGAATATATGTGTGCCCAAGTACATGTTAGTGTAATGAGTTGTTTGTATTTCAGTGCTTTACACTTAGGAGGAATCCAAAGCTTTCTCAGTAGAATTACCCACCAAGTGCTGGATGTGCATTTGGAGATCACCCAGTCCTAGTCTTATACTACTTATAATCAACATACAGTAAGTCCCTGGATGGCTAAAGCAGAAGGATTGCCACAAATGTGAGAGCAGTCTGGTCTACAGAGCCAGACTTTAGGCCCTACTCCCCGACAAAAAATCCAAATGTCAAAATGGCTTGACTGCCAAGATAGTAGCAATGAACTTGGAATTCTCTAAAGAGGTGTAATAACTTACCTGCCGAACAACTAGACTTGAAAATGGATAGTACTGGATGGGAGGAGAAAAAAAGTATAAATTTGATGTCTTACTTAGCCAAGGCTAGCCTGGAACTCCTGATTATGCCCCTTAGCCTCCCAAGTGCTAGCATTACAGGTACGTGCCTCCAGTGTCCGGCTTGGCGCTACAGCGAAATTCGTATATATAAAAATGAAAAAATTCTATTGAGACACACATGGGAGAACCAAGAATTGGCTCGCATACACTCAAGCTCTACTATGTACACAACTATATTCCCACTGGATTACGTGTGAAAGTACAATTGACTCCAGTGACATTTGTTAATCCCAGAGACTCAAAAGGAAGATGAAGATGGGTCCACCGTTCAGCAAATTTTTGTTAAAGCTAGTGCTGGCATGATTCTAATAATTTGACTTGCACTAGTGCATTAATGCACTTTTTTTTTCAAAGCCTGACTGATACGTGTACATACAGCTGTGTGATACATACAGCTGTGTGATACACTCACTTGGGTGTTTGCTGTAGGAGTGCTTAAAGGTTAGGGCTCCGCTCCTTCTCCCGCGCTGCCATTTAAGGGGTAGGCTTCCTGTCCCCGAACGCTACCCAGGAACAGCGGCCGTCCCAGCACCCACCCAAACACCAGCAGGGACTGAACGAGCGCGGAGGGAGACGGCGCGCGTGCGCGTGAATACGCGCAGGCGCAGCCCGCCTTTTTCCGGGTGGCCCGGCACTCACACCCACCCTGGTCTCTCCCGTCCCGCCCTCCAGGTGCAGCGGAAGGATGCGATTGGACAGACTGCTTGCCCATCAGACCAGGCTCAATTCTTCTCAGTACAATTGGCAGCGGGGGAAAAGGCCAGTCCGTCGTTCTCAGCTTACTCCTTGGAGACCTAGCGCCACCGCGGAAGCGGCTATTGGCGGACGCCGGGGACCGCGACTGCTCACTTCCGGCGCGGCCCACGACGATCCTCCCCGCCCGTCGCTCCCAGCCTGCCCCCGCCCTTCCACCATGGCCGCCTCTGTGTGGTGTGGGGAGAAGCTGGTCCTCCGTGTCCTCCTATAGCGCTACTGCCTCGTCCTCACCCGCTAGGGGCCGGATTCAAAGGAGCCGCGTCCCCCAACAGCCGGGAAGGTTTCCCACCCCACTGCAGGGCCAGGACCCCGCTTCCACCTCTAGAGGCAGAAACTTAGGGCTTTCCCTTCCGTTTAGGGTCAGAAGCAGAAAGGGTTCCCCTTGCACTTGTGCAAGGGCGGCAGCCTAGCTGAGCTTACTACCGGCATCTACCCTTAGGCTACCGTACTGAGCTAACCGCCTGGGCTCTGCACCGCCGCTCCAAAGAGAGCACCCAGAGGACCCGCGCCTTCGCCCCTCCGCAGGGCTGGAGGGAGGAGTGCAGAAAGCAGGGCCTGCGCCGCCCTCCCCACTTGTTCCTCTTGCCCCTCGCTCCTGGCAACCCAGAGTTACCCATCTCTAGGACTTAACACCCGTCCACTCCCTTGACCTCTTCCAGTCTCCTGGCTGCAACCATGGAGTTACAGAAGGGAAAGGGGGCAGCAGTAGCTGCTGCATCAGGAGCAGCGGGAGGTGGAGGAGGAGCGGGAGCAGGAGCCCCAGGAGGGGGGAGGCTGCTACTTTCAACCAGTTTGGATGCCAAGGATGAGTTAGAGGAGGTAGGTGTGGGGGGTGGGGAAGGGAGTTAAGAAATTGGGTTGAGGAGGGATACTGGAGCGGATGCGGGGTGGGGGTGGGGAGAAGAGGCCTTTAAGTTTTTTCTAAGGCAAAAACATTGCTCTAACTTCCTGCTCCTGGAGGAAGAAGTATGGGCCAATTTCCTGGACAGGTTGTCATAGTAACATAGCAACAGCTGCCGCTATTATGAAAATGGGTGAGGGGTATTGGTTACAGGCGATATGCAGCATCCAGATTTACCGAATTTATATCATTCCTTTTCACATACATACCATGGCTATACAAAATATCCACGCTATTTGAAGGTGTTAAGTTGGAAAGTAATGTGTTTATTGTAAGCAGGTGCCTGAGGATTGATAGGTGCTTCCTACATACCTTGGCTCCTCTTAGATGGTAATCCTTGAATTGTGGACACAGAATTGTCAGGGATTTTAACTGGGCTTTTTAGAATGAGTAAAGACTTTTAGGTGTGGTCAGTTTGGTAACATCATCCACAGCAGTGGAGTGAGCCAGTCAGTGGGACATAGGGGACTGCCTTCTTCAGAACCAGAGTACACACAAAAAGGAGAGAGCAAGCACATGGAATGGGCAGTGCCTCCCGAATGGAGATTTGAGGGCACTTGACAGTTCCCCTCTCCCCTTACCTTACTTGTTCTCATTCCTGTTCCTGACTAATCAGAGTTGATCAGTAGATCCCTGTCCACTGCTTCCACACTAGCAGGCTTACTTAGGAATGTGAGACGCAGGACCGAAGCATGATTGCTGCATTCAACTCTGGTTATCCAGGAACAAAATGAGTAAATTAACAGATCCAGGCCTTTTTTACTGGCTGTTTTCCTGACACTGTGTCACAGATCTTTATCAGATGTTAGAGAGTAGGCAGGTTAAACTCATAGTTGAAAAAATGTTATATCACCAGGCATGGAAGTTTGCGCCTGTAATCCCAGTACTTGGAAGGTTGGGGCAGGAGGATTGTGAATTTGAGCTCCATATGTGTGTCTGTATTGAGTTCCAGGCTAGCTGGGGCTACATAGCAAGACCCTGCCTCCAAAACAAAAGAGAAAGAAAAACATATTAGATCAAACGCAAGATGATGAACAAAAATGAACTGTATGAATCAAGGTGACTTTCTAGCAATTTTGTGGTTTATCCACCAGCAAATATCTGTTTGAAATGTGACTTTCCTTTTTTCACCTTATAATTCTCTGTGCATTTCTTTTTTTTCTTTTCTTTTTTTTTTTGGCTTTTTGAGACAGGGTCTCCCTGTAGCCCCAGCTGGCCTGGAACTTGCTATGTAGGCCAGGCTGACCTCGAACTCACAGAGATCCACCTGCTTCTGCCTCCCAAGTGCTGGGAATAAAGGTGCATGCCACCACGCCTGGCTCTCATTTGGATAAAAAGGTTTTTTTTTGTTGTTGTTGTTTCTATTTATGTTTTTATCAGCTAAGGTAGATGTAATATAAATATGACTTCTACCAGGTTTGTGATCCCAACACCCAGAGTCTGAGGCAAGTTGATTACAGGTTCAAAGCCAACCTTGGCCGCCACACCCTGCTAATTATTATCCACTTTTTTTTTTTTTTTTTAAAGAAATGACCTTATTTTCGTGGGTTTTTTTTCTTTAAAATTTTTAAACATATATTATTGTATGTCTATGTGTGCATGTATGCATGATGTGTGGGTGTGAGCGCCCTGGCATGTGTGTAGAGGTCAGTGGATAACTTTGTGGTTCTCTCCTACCTTTATTTGGGTTCTGGGGATTGAAGTCAGGTCATTAGGCTTACACAGCAAGTGCTGAGCCATCTTGCTTACCCTATTTTCTTTTTTGAGATAGGTTCTCAATATGTAGCCCTGGCTGATCTGGAACTCACTATGTAGACCAGGCTGTTAGAAATAGCCACTTTGTCAAGTAGTGAGCCTGGTGTTCTAGCACAGCAGCTGTAGGAGTGTAAAAAAGAAATCAATGGTTGACTGCCTTTGATCCCTTCACCAGAGTAGATGCACAGGAAAAGTTTCCAAGGTTGGATGAAACCAGTCTGTTTGTTCCCATTCTGATTCCTACAGGAGTCTCCATGCCTCTGATTTAATTTGTACCGTAGGATAGCACAGCATTCTGTTCTGAACAGTAAGTGATATGTTAGGAAGAGACCACAAAGGAAAGAGGAAGCATTTATTTTCTTACTTCTTTAGACTCTCTGAGAATGAACTTTCAACTTTCCAGGGAGATGAGGGAAGGAGGGTTTTTGTTTGTTTGTTTCTGATCTTTCATGGTGTAGATCTTTCCAGTATGTCTCAAGCATCCACACTTTTCTTTGCTCTTTGACCTTTTGCAACTGAATTTTCCAGCTAAGGAACCTTGCCATACTATATTTCTCCCCCATGGGTGTGGTTCTTTTATCCCCACTAGACTAGAGTGTCTGAGGGGTAAAGCTTACTAGCTCCTTCCTCTATATCTCCCTACAGATCTCTGCACACAAAAGTTTGATAACAAAAGTTATCAAAACCTGTTGTTGACCACCTGATCTCTGCTTGTTCTGGCAGTAATTTTCCATCACCGGCCTACCTGTTGCCCAGGAAAATAGAATTGGCTTTCTGACTATATATGCTTAGAGTGTGTTGAGTCTGATGGGAAAATAGGTTGGGAGGAGGGTGTAAGGTGTGCTGTCCAGACTTTATCATCTGAAGACTTGAATTAATACCCCAGAAGAAGTAGATTAGTATAGTGAAGAGGGGTCATAATGGTTGAGTGTGATTAGGAAAGACCCTTTAGAGACCTAGAGTATAAGGCATTGGTCAGGATCATCCCCAGCAGGCGTTGTGACTTTTTCCCTAGGGAGTGTTTGTTGTATCCTTTCTTCTCTTTGGCCCCATTCCTCCCTTTGAAGGCAGAAATATTCTTGCCCATCCCCATCCTAATTTGGGGAGGGAATGAGATAAAAATAGTGCCAGAGATTGGAGGAGTTTAGAACATGTAGTTACTGGTCTCATGAGCCTTCACAGACCCTGGTTATTCCTTTGCCAGGGAGGGACCAGTCTCTTTGAAGTCAGGCCGAAAGCAGGAGCTGTAGCCCAAAGAAACCAGAATGTCTTCAAATTATGGATAAGCTTGAGGGTTGTGTTTGGCTAGATAGAGCTATGTCCCTGCCATGCATACCCAAAGAAAGAGCTCTTATCCTATCTGAGAAATCTCTAAGGAATGAACTTTGAGTCTTTTTTTTTCCCCTCTTAAATCATTATTTCACAAGCTGAGCGTGATGGTGCACGCCTGTAGTCACAGCACTTGGGAAGCAGAGGCGGGCGGATCTTTGTGAGTTCGAGGCCAGTTTGGTCTACATAGTGAGTTCCAGGCCAGCTGGGGCTACAGGGAAACCCTGTTTCAAAAAGACCAAAAAAAAAAAAAAATCATTATTTCACATACAAGTGACTCTTGATTGTAAAATATAGGTCATCCCTTGGATCTGCAAGGCATCTGTTCCAGGTCTGTCAGAGGATGCCAAAATCTGTCACCTCTCCGTATTCATGGATAGGAAGGGCTGGCTGTACTTGGAACCCAGCACATTCAGTAACTTCTTACGGATGAGTCCTTGAAGACTGTGAAGATTGTATCACATTTTCCTTTTCTGAAGACAGTAGAATAAGTATCTCAAGGCTATTCATGTCCTAGCTCTCGCTAATAGCTACAGCTGGTCTAGAACTCATTGGGTAGACCATCCCAGGCTGGCTTTGATCTCACGTCTATCGGCCTGCCTCTGCCTCCCAAGAGCTGGGATGAAAAGTGTGTGCCACCACACCCAGTCTGCTATGCACTTTTTACCCGAGTGCACATTCACCTGACTGAAGAAGGGGGAATGGAGAGGTTAGAGGGATTCTAACTTCTATCCTCAGCTTCAGGTATATACTGGCAAACAGGAAGGCCTCCCCCTTCTTTTGCCATCCCATCTACTGCTGTTGTCCTGGTAGTCATGGTCAGGTAGTTTGAGTGTTAGAAAAATGAGTTCCAGAGCTCAGGGATGATAAATATTTACTCAGCTCTCTGAGGTGCTGTCATAGAGGGCTTATTCTGAACAGAACCATCCTGCCAGTAATTGTTGGCAGCTGCATGTGTGATTTCATCTTTACTAAGGGCCTGCAGAGACTAGGGGAGAAGAGTCCTGTTACCCAATTGTAAGATCTGGTTTCCTGTGGCCACCTTTGAAGAGGTATAGTCCCCTAGTCACCCTGGATGATTTGTGCTTAATTCTCCCATCCTGTTTGGATGGTTTTGTTGTTGTTGTTTGGTTTTTGGCTTGTTTTAGATGGGGTCTTGTATAGCCCAGGCTAGCTTTGAACTCCTGATCTCCTACCTCTACCTCCTAAGTGCTGGGAGTTCAGACATTCACCACCATGCCTTGGTTTGAGATAAGTAGTTTTTATAGTTCATGAAGAGTAGTTTCTTCTTTATGTCTCCTGTCTAGAAAGGACTGTCACATTTCTTTCCTCGTTGAATTTAACCACTCATCCAAATTCTGAACTCTCCCACTCTCTATATCCTTAGTAGGGCCTCCCTGTTTCTCCTGGACTGGGCACTGACCCATAAAATTGACTCAGAGCTTAGAACTCTGGGGAGGAGCCTAGAACAACTTTGCTCAACCCAGTGTCTCGTGAATGTTAAATCATAACAGCAAACTTAGCCAGCCCATAGGGCTTTGTAGTCGGTTTTGCAGATTCTTAGCTCAGGGTCCATCAGTCAGGCCTCCTCCCTTCTCCCTTCTTATTCCTCTTCTCTCTCTCAAAGGCCAACATTTACAGAGGGGAGGCTGGAAGAGAGCTTTTCCCTACTCACATGTCCTGTGGAGGGGGTTTAGTTTTCAGGAATCTTTAAGGACATGCCTTTAGAAGTTGTGACAGGAGGCTGGCCAGATGACCCAGTGGGTAAAGATGCTTGTTGTCTAGCTTCACAACCTGGTGGTGAAAGAACAGAACTGATGCTGGCAAGTTGTCCTGTGACCTCCACATGCATGCCCTCACATATATACACACAAATAAACATGATTAGAAAAAATTTTAAATAATGGCAAGAAATCAGGGTGCCAGATCCTCATGGATTAGATTTCTGTGGTGGTTGAGCTTTTTCACAAACTGGATAAATTCTAATTCAGCTGAAGCTGTATGCTTGGTACCTCCTGAGATGTTTAATCTTCAAGATAACCTTGCCAACATGTGTTATCTCTATTTTTCAGATAAAACCAGGGTTTAGAGAGGCTAACTCACCAGAGATGAGTCTAGGCTGGCTAGCAAGAACCAGTTTCTTCTGCATTGTGCTTCCTATTAGTTTATATTGCCTAGCTGCTGACGGAGCAGACCTGTGTCTTCCACAGTGAGCAGTGTCTAGGATTTTAGGGTGCTACTGCTGTTTGCTCAGTAGCTCTCTTCATTCTGAAACTGCTTGTTGACCTGGGCTGGATACAGGGTCCTCAGCAGGACCTAGCTATTGGAGTAAGTGACCCTCCAGTCCCTGATGACTATCTTGGGTAGAGAGGGATAAGGTTTTTAGGAGAGGGGGTTGGGGATTTAGCTCAGTGGTAGAGTGCTTGCCTAGCAAGCGCAAGGCCCTGGGTTCGGTCCTCAACTCCGGAAAAAAAAAAAAAAAAAAAAAAGATTTTTAAGAGAGGAAACCCAGCCTGAGATTTTTCCTCCCCTCACTTTTTTATTTAGGAGCTGGACTAGGTAATAACGGGTCTCAGAGCTCTCGGGTCATGAGACGCACAGCTCAGCTTTCATGTGATCTTACAGTTCCTTTTCACAAGTGTGCAGTTGCTATTTATTAAAGCTGAGCCTGCTGATCTGACCTAATTTGGAAGATAGACCTGATGTTGGAGGTAAAATTGTGAATTTCAAACCCAGGCAGCTTTAGGATTGTTGTCGGTTAAAGTTTTGCTGCCATCAGAGTTTCTTACCTTAATACAGTTCTACCCTCTGCCACTCAAGACTCTTAGGGCAGACACAGATGATAGAGGACGGCCAAAGGAGAAGCCTTGTCTGTCCATTGCCTTTGTTGTTTCCTCAGAATGCTGCTACTTCTGTCAGCAAGATCATCGTTATGATGAATGTGGGGGTTTTCTTTCTAGTATTGGGGGTCCAACCAGGGTCTCAAATATGCTGGGGGATTTTCTTCTGTTTGATGTTATGAGACAATCTCATGTAGCCCAGGTCTGCTGTGAATTCCCTATGTAGCGAAGGATGACCTTTGAACCCCTTGATGTTTTTATCTCAAGTATAATCCCAAATGCTGGGATTGTGGGTGTGTACCACCATACCCAGCTGTTAGGGTTTTTGTTTGTTTTTATTGTTAGTTTCTTTTCTGACACAGTCTTCTCATCAGACCGACCTGGAACTTGCAGCAATCTTCCTGACTCTTTGAGTGCTGGGATTACAGACAGGTGTTATCACATCAGGCTGCACACGCTGCCCTTACCTGAGCTACATTGACAGCCCCATCTTAAAACTGAGACAGGATCATGCCCAGGTTGCCCAGGTTGGCCTTGACCTTGTAGTTCTTATACCTCAGTCCCCTAGTAGCTGGAATTATAGGTACACACCACCACAGCTTCAGCAAAATGTTTTCTTATGAGTTGTAGTATTGAGAAGTAAGCCACTGCCTTTTTCCTGGTTTTGCCAGCTTCAGTACCCCTGGGAAATGGTTTTTCCTTAAACAACTTTTGTGTCAATCCTCATAGTAAAGTTTTAAAGGTCTCCACAAATAGTTTAGGGGCTGGTAACAAAGAGGTAATCTGGCTTGACATGAGGTATAGTTTGTTGTAATCTTACCAATATGTACTAGTAAATACTTCTTCAGAGTGGGGATCACTGAATAAGGCACCTTAAACTGTCAAGCACATGCCATGGTACGGTGGTCTTGGAAACCAGAGGGGTCCTTGGGTTGGTTTTAATGATGCTGCCCCACCTCGTTTAACTAGCAGCCTGACAGGTTTTGGTTTGTCTTTTTGTTCGTCACTCCTTTTCCTCACACTTTCACTGTTTGGTTTTTAAAACTATTTATTTATTTATTTATTATTTATTTATTTTTTGTCATTTTGAGACAGAGACAGGGTCTCCCTGTAGCCCCAGTTGGCCTAGAACTTACTATGTAGACCAGGCCTGCCTTGTCTACTGAGTGCTGGGATTAAAGGCATGTGCCACCACACCTGGCTTTAAGTAGGTACTTTAAAAAAAAAAAAAATTATCTCCTTTTTTATGA